TTTAGATAATTTGAAGGCTGTGTTCATACTCTTTTCTATAGAATGGCAAACCAATTTAAATTCTAGACAAAGGCAATTTTCCCAGTAGAAATTTGGTTGTTGTGATCCAAGGCAAGGTCGTTTATTGTCTTCGCTGGGAGACACACAAAAGTGAATTCTTCCCCATACAAATTGCACATTTGTTTCGGATAAATCAGCTAAAAATACTACACAATTTAAAGTCCCACACTTGAAGCGTTTCCCCACTAATGCCTTGCCAGTCAAAACTAATCATTAAATAAATGCTCTGGCCTTAAAAAACCCACTCGATGAACTCCCCTGATGCAACTGAGTTGCACACTCTAAAAAAAGAGCAAAGAAAAGAAAGAAATCGAAATTTCTTGAAGAATGCCTCGCCCTAATGAAGCTATGAACAGACTGCTCAACTGAGGGGGCTGCGATATTTATTTTTGATGCCACTCTTTCTTGCATATTCCATAAATATAAATATGCTGAAAGCTGGTGGAGGCTTCCACTTAAGCGCCGACAATTAATATTTTCCATATTTCTTCTGTTCTTTACTCGGCACTCTCTTCTGAGCCACATTCTCCCCTCTTTTTGTTTATTGAAGTGTCGATTAAGTTGTTTTAATATTAAGCAGCCCCTTTCTATATTAAGAGCCCTCTTTGATATATGGTTTATCTTACGGGGAAAGCAAATGCGAGATGGATCTGTGGAGGGCCTTGTTCCTATTCGAAAAAAACAGCCGATGGATGATAAGAGCAGCCATGTATATAAACCATATATATCCACTTGTGCTTATTATTCACTTCCATTTATGGGGCAGCCGTTGAAGCTCGATTCGGTGAGGTTCAAGGCACTGGATTTGATATCGCTAAAGTGCCAGCGTTTCTACCCAGAGAGCACAAATCAAACGGCCTGTACTACCAATCACAGAAAACTTCAAACTACAAACTGCGAACTGCAAACTGCCAATTTCCAGAGGGCCCCAAAACGTTGGTCAAAAAGAGGAGCGGCAAAAAACAAAAAAAGGGTTGGGGTCAAAAATGCTACCCAAACCGATTCTCACACAAATTTGCAAACGCACAATTAAGTCGCCTGGGAGAGGTCCCTTTGGAGCTTCCCCTTCGGAACGTATGATGTGCCAACAAAGACGTCAACTTGTCATTCGCCGGCCTTAAACTTGGTTAATTTATTATGGCCGTAGGAACGGGGCGCAAAAAATGCAATTGCGTCGAGTGAGTATAGTTTTTTATACCTACTCTGGTTTTTGGGCCCGGGATTTTTGTGCCAAGTGCTTGCATTTAGCCGCCATGGCACTGACTGATGTACAGAAATTAATAACGCTCAAATAGAGCTACCAAGTGGGCAAAAGTTTTGGTTTTTGCACTTCTTTCTTTCCCTCAGTTTAGTTCAGATTCTTTTTTTTTTGTATAATCCTCACTCGCTTTAAGCCGGTGAATTTCCGGCCTTTAGCTCTTTTTGCCCCCAACCAAATGGGTAATACACGCATATTGATTACCAGGTAGTCGAAACCAGCTGGGAATCGAAAAGGGGCTACGAGCGATTTAAAGGCGAGTAAAAGTTGCATTTGCAGGGGGCAGTTAATGAATCCCAACTTGTCCACTCTGCAGCGGCGACCAAGGAGGCAGAGTAGAGGGGCCAAAGGAGTGAGTCAATCAAGTTGAAGTCCCAACATTCCGTATTCCCACAGTGCATTAAGCCAGCTACCAAGGCAGCAAATTCCTGTCCCAGGATAGGACCTGGGAAGCACAGCAGCAAAAGCAGCTAGCAACTGCAAAATCAACAGCAAGAAAATCACTTGCGGTTGCATTTTGCGGTTTGGGCCAACCTACTATAAACAGCAACAAATGCGGACTAAAAAGTTGTTTCTTTCTTATTTTGGCGTGAGAATTTGTCGCTTCTTCAGGTGGGCGGTTCATCCCGAGGAGGCACGTGTTCCCATCCGGCGGTGGAAAGTCGATCCCGAGAACGATTTCCCACCCGATAAGATGGTAACTGTGAGATACATTTCTCAGTTGGATTTACGGTCGAATGAAAGTTTTACGAGGCCTAAGCTCAAAATGAAAGGTTACCCCAGAAGCTACTGCCAACTGACCCTAATGGATCATCCGATCTACAGGAAAAAGTGAGAAAAGCGAAGGGCAGAGACCACACTTTGACAGAAGAAAGTTCGAGATAAACATTTCTACGGTCATTAAAATGGCATGGAAGATCTGCAGAGACACTTGCATTTATATAAGCCAATAAAGGAAAAAGTAAGTTTGCAGTCTAGGGGAATTAAGAAACTTATTTCAAGAAGAATAGAGGACGATTTCTTCTTAGACCCATCATCAAATCTTCTCGCTCTTTTCTTTGTAATTCATCTAAAATTCAAATATTCTACTCATGACTAATACTATTTTCACTGGAAGCGAAATCAATGCGGAATCACTTAACACCAATTCCCCAATGCCTAATCGTTCCGCATTACGCTATGTGTTTTTAGAGAAAACCATATACCATAAGGCGTTATAATTGTTTTACGGCACTGCCACTTCATTTCACAGGTTTGCCGAACGCAAACAAACAGTTAACAGGCTTTGTGTACCTTGGTTTTTTTTTGTTAATTAATTGTTAACAAAACGAAGGGTCAACAAAAATATCAACAGAGAGCAGTAGCCAGAAAAAACCACAAGTAGTAGCGCCAACTCCCATTTTTTGCTGACTTTGTGCCATAATTTAAAATAAAGAAGTCGTATATTATTTTTTCATTTCGCTGCTGAACTTGTTTATTGAATTTACGATTTTTTTAAAGGCGCTGACTCAGTATGATTTTCCCTGTAATTTTGTCAAGTTAGCGCGAAACGTTAAACGAGGTTGCAATGCATAACAGACTAAAGAAAAAACCCGATTCGGGCCAGTATTCAATTCAATTGAATTTTGAATAATTTGAAATGCTCAGCTCCACCAAATCGTGTTGCCAACGACTCAATGAAATGCAAATCACTGTAAATGATAAAGTAAAACGGGTGACGAAAGAACAATTTTCTATGGTGTTTTTAAACGGAATACAAATAATTTCATAGGCTTTAAATTTAAATAAAAATGCTTATTTAAGTGATTTATTCTGATTATGGGCGTAGCTCATAGCACAGCTCACATAGCAAGTACATGTCAACAAAAATCCGGGTTGCGCAATTTTATGGCGATTTTGTACAGCTCTTTCTCAATTGACAAACGCTTTTGTCTTTTTACTACTTGCGCGGGTGTGTCTTTGGTTCAATGGAGAAACAATAGACTTTAGTGTACATAACTGTATATGGAAGCCAGGCAACTTCCTCAAGCCATAAAAGCTAGCATAAATTACAGAAGGAATTATACAAATGGACTATTAAATAGAAGTCACAAAAGTTGGAGAGATCTATAAAAACTGAAAAAGAAATCTAACAGATACAAAGAATGCTAAAAACAAATTGATACATCTGTTGAGTGCAAGTATCAAGATCTCCAGTGAAAGATAAATAACCCTCTGAGCAGACCACCATCAACTTCACCCATCCATTAATCAACGAATCTCAGTGAGATACTTCCTTTTAAAACGCCCCTGGTAAGTACGTGGGTGCAATATGAAAACTAAATGAGGCGAATATCCTTTCATGGCTCACGTATCAAGAACTAAATAGAGGATATTTCTATAAAGCACGGATTTAAGAGTTCTACCTGTTCTATCAATAACGGAAAAAAGGCGCTAAACCGAAGGAAACCGCACTTGACAGTAGCACACGAGCAGGTAGACCCAAAAATCAGCCCTCTCACGTAGCCTCCTAAAATTCTGGATGGGATCGTAGCACACTGAGCCCTCTGTGGCGCATTGTTCTCGTGCATTTCCTGATTTTTAATTAGCCAAATAGAACCTTACAAAGGAAACAACAGGACAGACAAAGTGCATCCTCTATACGTGCTTGGTATTTGAATTATTTTGCTCCTCGATGTAAAGAAAATGTACCCAGAGGACAGGAAATTAATTCAATATCAATTTCTGTCTGCGGTTACGTTGAAAATTGCGAGAAAGTGATGTTGAAACCAACCTCAGGTTGAAAATTTTATAATCGAGACAAACCGCTTTTGGACATCGGGATTTTCCCCACTTATAACCATGGTCAGTTAACTTTGGTTACCCCAACTTGGCTTCTGATGGATGAGACAAAATCAATTCAAATGCTTCTATTCCAATGAAATTTCCTAAATTAGCAACCCGACTTCCAAGGAAATAGAAATAGAAAAAAAACACCTAAGCCATACATATCGGATTAATCCAAATACCCAAATCAGCTGCATTGCCGAACTGAGTGATATAATTCATCTTCATTCGAAACAATAGAGACGGATTTTCTCAAAGAAATCTGCAAGGTACACATCAAATCAAATGTTTAGTCGGAACCCAAAGTTTGTGTCATTTATAATCGGCCAACAGACCAACTTTGACTAATTAAGGGAGTCACTCGACCGAGGAATTTACATGAAATGTTTATGCATTTTCAAAATAGCTGGGGAAGGTCTTTTGTCCGTCTGTGTGGCCCCTAATGGAAATTTGAAATATTTGCATAAAAATGCTGAGCAAATTGTTAGCTTGCATATTTACGGATGTGCAGTTTTACGGGGGCCAAGAACCGGACAATGATGTTTAGAAAACCGGCATTTGCATTATAATCCCCCAGATGACCTAGGAAATGACTGGCCAACAATTTGGTTACCGTTCGAGAGGGTTCAATCAACTCTGGCCAGCGAAAATGTCTCGAGATCATATCGCAATTCGATAATTGAGTAAAAGGAGAGTGGGCTGAGAAAATTCTGGTCTGGACTTTCGCCAAAACGAGATGAAAACCAATCGACCGAACTAGATCTCGTCTACCAATCAAACTTTCTAGAGGAAGTCGGTGAATTATTGGGCCACAGCGAAAACTGGGCTACTACAGATCCATTGATCTGGGGCTTACCTTAGAGCTTATGGAGATGTTGTATCCAAATGTGTTTAGCGTGTAATCGCAATCCCAAGACTTAACAGTCCCCGACTTTGATGGATGGGATGGTGGAACTAGAAGTCTGGCGAAGACAAGACAAGGTCGCACTGTTTTTTGGTTTTGTTTCTTATTTCTGCCTCGTTTGTTTTTTACGGCCCTTTGGCTGGCATTAAGTTATCAAGCACTTCACTGTAGATCAGTGGTCGGCAGCGACCTATCTAGTGAGCATAGGGAAGTGTTCTACCCATCCTCTGCTCGCTCACGTATAACGTACATGTTCGTGTGACTTCGGCATGGGTCTTCGGGTCATTTTTTCTCAGCTTCGGCGCGCTTTTTTGTTGCTGCGGCAGAGGATCTCAGTGCAAAGCAGAGAAACGTTTCGCTACAGCACGCCGCGCGCAAACTTCGTGTTTGTTACACTCACACTAATGCAAGGCAAACTTGTGATGGTATGTGTGTGCCGACCACTGCTGTAGATACTTCACATGCACGGCGCATTTCTACGCGTATCCAAAGGTGCGTATGCGTACGTGTTCCCAGCCACTGGGGAAACAGGTGCACTCAGGAAGCAGGTGCAGTGATTTTTATTTAGCGTTGCACTTTCAATCTATTTTTTTTCTTAATTTCTGCACTAAATTATTTGGCTCGCGGTCCTATTTTATTTTCGACCTGAGATGGGCGCACATTCACTTTCGTTCAGATAGACGCGCTACCGTTAGTCAGTTCATCAGAATTCAGAGTTGGGAATTATAGTGGAGCAGCGATATAGACCGCACTCGGCAGTGTTTACAGACGCAATGAAGACGCACGCTAGTGTCTGCGAGGTCTAACCCAAAGAGAGTCGCATTCAGCCGAGAGAGAGACAGAGCGGCTAACGGGCGAGCGGATCTCTGGAACACGTTTCTCATATATGAAGTGTGTGTCTGCTTACTCTCTCGCCCTCTCTGCACTCAAAGAAAAATCTGTAATTTTTATCAGAAAGAAATGCTTTAGTGGCTCTTTTATAAGTATTTTCTCTATTTTATTTATTTCCGATTTAAAAACTTTTGGACTTTGGTTTTTATTTTTCAAAATGGGCTCAAGTTTAAGATCCTTTTTTACTTACACTTTAAGGTATAACAAAAAAATTCTTAATAATCCAATCTAATAATTTTTCTACGCCTTATAAACTTTAACATTAAATCATCCTCTTAATTTTTAACACAATTAATAAATAGTGAGAATTTTTTAAGGTTGTATATTGTTCGTAGCTTATTATGAAGTCAGTAGCCAGAAATACTTTGATTATGTATGGAAAGTGTTAAAAAGAGTTAAAACCACTCAACCATGCCAAAACCTTTATACGATCTAAGGAGAATTATACTCTGTTAATGTTAGGGTAAACTGATTTTGGGAAAAGGCAATGGTCTATAGAGAGCCAGTGTGGGTTGTTCCGCCGCGATGTGGGCGAGTGAGCGGGCGAACTAGTTCGCTCTCTTGCTAGAGAGAGGAAAACTGGTTTCCAATCAGACATTGCCGGCATGTGGGTTTCCTCGTGGAAATCTACTTTGGGGATGGGTAACCAGCGAGGGGAAAAGTTGCGGTCGAGCGACGCCGGATGGGCTTGGGCAGAGCTACATAAATGACCAAAGTTGAAGGGCGAGGCACGGCAAAGAGTCTCCAGACCTGAAAACATGTAATAAATCAAGATGTTCTTAAAACATGAGGCTTAAACTAATAATAACTACATTGTCGAACATTTTGATCTTACTTGTATAGTATACTTTTTTAGATTTTTGATGAAATTGAAATTTTAATAAAGAGAAAAGGTTGTAGTTCCTATAACATTTGAACGTTTTTAGATAGCCAACGAAAGTTCTGGAACTTTCGGTTGGAGTTTGGTTGAAAGAAGATTTGTGTAGCCCAACAGATCCTAACGCTATAAAAAGACCTAACTTATTTATTTGATTTAGTTCTAAAGACTTCAGAATCATTAAAAAAAACGGTACTGCGCCTCTATCTCAATAATCACATTTAAAATAAATACATATATGGTTGGAGGACCCACATAAGAAAGGCACGTCTTATTTCGTGAAAAAATAGGGTTTCTACATATTTCTTCACAATGTGAATTTACATTATATAATAATTATATAATTATAGACTCATTTTAGTATTCTACATTTTCCATGTACCATACCAGTATATTTGAGACGGATTCAACAAGGGCCAATCAAACGCTGTACAACCTCAAACTCATATAATGTAATGGGTCCCGAACTTTGACCAGACGCAAATCTAAACGATTAAAAAGAAAGTTCAAACGTCAAACGAAATATTCAATTCCGACAATGTCTTAGATTGCTTTGGTTTGGTTTTTTACCATGATTTATTTTTTGTTACCCCAACAGAAACAACGATAAAAAGCAAAAGTTGAAAAATTAATTATGACAAAGTCAAAAAGTCCAAAAATTATTAATGAAAGTGAAATTATCATCAACGAACCAAAAACAAATTTTGAACAAATTTCACACAGATGACTTTTGTTTGCTCGATAATTTGCGGATGAAAAGGAAGCAAAAAAGAACTGACGAGCAAAGTTAAATTCATTAGATTTTGATAGATTAAGTTGATGAGTGGATGTCGGTGATGGATTCGCAGAGTTGTGAAAAACTTGAGCGAAAAATGCGGAACCAATTTTATTTGTTTGTCCATTGAGAGTGATTTAATTAGCTGGAGCACGGCAAACTTATGCAACTAACCCGGGGCGGCAATTAAGAATTCATGAATCAGACCCTAATTAGAGGTCGCCGTTTAACAAGTGGATAGATTGAAGATAGCCTCGACGATTAATATCTATTAGAGGATGTTGCAATGAAATTTAATCAAATTAGTTAGCTCCAATTTTATTAAAATCTACGTTCTTTTCCCTGGGACATTCTAAAGGGTATGCAAGCCCCTGGGTAGAAAAATTACATCTTGTAGCTAAATGGCATTCCTCAGGCCAACGGTTAAATATTTGTGAAGCACGGTGTGGACAAGAAAATGGTATCATAGCACGCTTTTCACACAACCGTGTGAAAAGTATACAAAAGTACCTTCCCAGTTGGGGGAGGCATTCTCGATGGCCGGGTCTTTGACACATGGGGAATGGAAAACGCAGTCTCGAGATGAAGACGGAGACGCTGCGAAGGTATGCTCCAGTTACAGAAGTCGGTGCCCAGAGTGTTTGTCCAGCACAAATACAGTGGATCCTACAAAACTGTGCATGACGGGCCACTGAAAAAGCACAATGGAACATACTCAACTCTTTTTACACAGAGCAAACGAGCAAAAGTTTTAGATGGAAAAACCATGTAAAAACATTTTATAAATTCATACAAATTTGGTTTTAGTTTTAACGTTTGCTTTAGTCTTTTTGCTACCGAAAACGAGCAATATTAAGGCTTCAGTTTTTTTGAATACTCTCCCATTCAAATGTTCTAGAAATTCAAAGATAATACCATTTTAAAACCATATTATAGCTTAATAAAAATATTTTTAATAATTTTTTTAAAACAACCATAAAAGAAACCCAAGCTTTTGGGGTTCTGCCCGAGTAATCCGGTCTGTACGCTCATAAGGTTGTAATTGCAGACTCAGCGTGGCCGGCTGCAAGTTAATGGCCAATGGTCAGCAGCTGCCGCAGCCAAAACAGACGTGCTCCAATTGTAAACAAAAATGCTGGAGCTCGAGGTGCTCTGGTGTTGGTCCCCATCCCCATCTCCATCTTCATCCCAATCTGCAACTGCATCTGAATCTGCAACTGAATCTCCATCTGCGCCGGATGGCAGCGAAGTCTGTCAAGTGGGTTACGATTCCCATTCCCACTTCCCCTTTGGGTAGCCACTTTTTGCGTGTTGCGCACATTTCCTATAAATAGTAGCTGTAAACCATAAATAAAAACGAAATGCGGCAGAAGCGTAAGACTAGAGCTACAATTCATGCCATCTATCAAGTTGCAGGCACATTCAGATACAATTCTGCGCTCAAAATGAATTGTTTAGATGGTTTGCCACTAAGTGGAGGCCTGTTACTGCCGCTTTAGATACACCGAAATGATTGGATTTGATTGGATTGGATTAATCGAAATTTGAATCGCAGCAAAGTGGTATCTCTATTTATGGGCTAAACATCACTTAACCTAATCGAGATCAAAACAATTGGTGGTCGTAAATCAAGCTCCAGTGGTGTGGCAGCTGATATCGACTGCCCGATGGCATCGATATCCATATCATAAACAAGAACTTCCGATTGCGGCGTCTGCTCAAGTGGCAAGTGCCACGAGCGGCTTAAAAGTATCTTATTAAAGCCAAAACCAAATAAAAAACGAAACTTTCAGCGGCTCAAAGGGCGACAGCTTGAAGACCCAAACAGGTGGCATCGGCAGTTGGTTCGGAGACGAGAACAGGACCTTGGGGTCCTTGGGAGAGGGAAGGGGGACTTCCGCCGTCGTCCTGGCCATTTCGTCGCCAGGTGGCCTCTACTTAGCCAGGTCAAGCGAAAAGGCGTCAACGTATCCCTCATAAGGACATAGATCGCCTTGCCATCATAACTTATTTGCGCAAAATGTATTTATTGCTGATTAGTATCATGGTTGATATTAAAAATTGGGTAAGATGAGCTATTCCATAGAATTTAGACTCTAAGTATTCAGAAGTCTTTCAAGCAGTACAAAAAATCTTAAGCAAGTAGGTCATTTGTGTTTAAATTTAAATTTAAGTTAACCAAACAGACAATAATACTTGTTATAAAACCTCTTCTTTTGACTTATAGACATTATCTACCAACCCCTTAACTACAAAATTATTGGTTTCCATTTTCGGTCTGATTCATTTTCGTTTTCTTATTTGCTGTCTGCTTGCAGTTGCGTAATTAAAATTGTATATTAATGATTGATGATTAATAATGCGAAACGTTTTCTTTATTTTTGGCCAGTTAATAATTATTCTCATAGTCTGAGGTTTCGGTGTGTGCCAAGAACATTTATAATAATGCGTTTTAAAATTGGCAGAGACAACAAATGTTCATCACAGTGTTTTCACGTTCAACAGTCAGCTGAAAACAACACATTAACTTTCGATCTCTAGCCCATTTGAATCGCTTACCCAATCTTGGAGCTAGAAATTGAATGCCTAATTTAATGTCAATTAGTCTAGTTTTTATTCACCTCGATATTTGTAATTACTTTAAGTTCCTTTTAGGTAGATATTATCGATTTATGATTGCAGGTTGTACACACATATATACCGAAACCCTCAGAGCTTGCACTGCTAATTAACAGTTCCATTTTGAAGTAATTTACACTAGATGAATTTCCCCCGGAATTTCCACTGAAAATACATAATATTCACTAATCAAACGAGACAGACCGATGTATATATTACAAATGGACAAATAATGACTACAGGTTCCAAGTATTTTACATAGAATTATTGGAGAGGCGGAGAAAATTATGGGAATGAGATTCTTTAATAAACTTAAATATGCAATGCATAACTGCAACTCCACACGCCCTATGAAAAGCGGTAAAAACTTTTCAAATATTCGAAAAGTTATTTGTTTTGACGGTGGAGAGCAGCTTGGGGCAAGAACCAAACTCATAAGTGTCTTATTATGTAAAGTGCCTAGGGGAAAACTATAACTTTTCGAGTCACATTAGTACCCATAAAATGACGGAAAAGAATGTCGCTTTTTTAAGTGACTTGTTATGCGTAGATTTTTATAGCGACGGAAACGACAGATAAAAACGATATGTTAAAATAAATTACCTTCATATTTAGAAATTTTATGTTATTGTAAATAGCAACGCAATATTCTACGAGGATGGAAAAATTTGAATTTACTTTATTTATACATATTACAATACTCGAAGAAAGGGTATTAATATTATTTAAGGCAAGTGTACCGAAAAAAGACACTTTAAAAGATTAAATGCATCGCTAATAGTATACCGAAACGACATTTCTCAAATTGTCCACATGAATTTTTCCACCGAGATGTATAAATATAAAAACTGTATTGTAATATATCTCTGCGGTGAGTTAAACATTAACAAAGCATATTTTAATAACTAATTTACAATATATATAGCGACAATTTGCGTGAAGTTAACCTCCGGTGAGGTAATACCAGAAAATCTCGACTTTCAATCACTTTTGAGGATTTTTAAAAGTCTTTCTGGTATGTATGCCAACTTTTTATTACCGCTTAAATACTTAAAACCTAATTAATACTCAGACACAACCGTACCGGTCAGCGAATCAAACATCACTTCAAAGGAATTTTGTATGAAAAGCTTTGAAAAGGCGAACCGCTACAAGAAGATTATTATGCTACAGGAACAGGTGGTTCTAAAGTTGCAATCCCAACACTTAAAACAAATTGAAGAATGCAGCAACCTCAGACATAAAGTTCGCAGGCTTATTGGGAATTACAAGAAAGCTAAGGCCGAGCTAAAAGCCTATAAGTTGTATAGTTAGAAGAGCAATTCCAAAAGCGAAATAGAAACAGCATTATTGAAAAGTGCATAAATGAATCCCCTACATTTTATAAAAATGGAGTACTGTCTATTATTTTAAAATTTGTATAAGAAACATTAAAAAAAATACAACGAATATTTATTTGTGAAATACCTGGATACCTTTTACTTTATTTAATATTTTAAGTATCAATCGAGGACATGGTGTGAAAGCCATCTTAGGGTTTCTTACATTTTGGTTTGTCCGTTGGGCACCTTCCTTTAATAATTTGGGTGAAAACTGAAAATTGATTACGTAAAATTACTTTACCACCCAATAACTTCAAATATGTTTTTCTCCTTCTTACCTGGCAATCCTTTTTGCTCTCGACGGCATGAAATACGTTCAACTTGGCACTTATTTAGAGCAGTGAACACACAAGCATCATTAGCGGATTTTCCACAATGAACATCATTTTTCCAATCACAAACAATGCACTCGTCTTCTGCAAAGCTAATCCCTAATATGATAGAGACTTCAATTTCAGGGAAAATATTAATCTAATGAAATCAATTAATGAAATCAAAAGGCATACCAACTATGAGATGTATCTTCATAACGACGTTTATTTTTCTAACTAAGTTGAAAAATTCTAAAATGTTTAACAAATAAAGAAAATTGCCAATGTAAATGCTGAAACATTTTGCATTTGTAACAGTTCACATTTCAATTAAAGAACAGATTTAAAAATTCTGTTTACTGTTTTGTTACGATACGGTAATTCTGTTTATATCCACAAGTTACTTAAAAGTAAAATGATACCAATATTTTTTTTTTGTAATTTATCAAACCAAACAAAAGATGGGTAAGTTGAAGTCTAACATGACAATTTTCTAGAAAGCGAGTTTTGTAGTTAACCGAAGTTAAACCTTGCAATAATTTTAAAGTGTTGATCCTAATGTCAAAAGAAAGCTCATCATCCCCACATACAGGGAAAGCTTTTAAAGTTCTCTCAAATAACATACAAGACTTCGATCTGAAATCATAACAATCAATAAATTTTTTACGATCTTGGAAACTGTGATGTGTTTTAAATTGATTTTATGGCCACTGCGTTGGCCCTTTGGAGGTTTTAAAGGTGCGTTATAAACTGCCACCCAATGGAGTTGAGCACATTACTGCAAAGCGTTTACAATGCACTTGACGCAACTTCTTGTCGGAATGAGTAGGCACACAATTTTATTCATCAAAATTAATACTAAGCTTTTTAATAAATTATTTTCTTTAAGTCTTTTTACTCGCCATAACAAGCCACTATGGAAAAAGAATTTACGGTTCAGAAGAGCAATCTAGCATCAAATATCCATGGACTCCGAAGACTTCAACGCACAACACACCATATAAAATATCTGGGGATATTTGAACAAACAACATTTAAATATGGAATTAAATTGGACGTTTAAATAAATGTTATGAAGTATAAAATATGTGCTCACTGTTAATTATACCCGTTACTCGTAGAGTAAAAGGGTATACTAGATTCGTCGGAAAGTATGTAACAGGCAGAAGGAAGCGTTTCCGACCCCATAAAGTATATATATTCTTGATCAGGATCACTAGCCGAGTCGATCTAGCCATGTCCGTCTGTCCGTCTGTCCGTCTGTCCGGATGAACGCTGAGATCTATGGAAACTATGGGAGCTAGGCTATTGAGATTTGGCGTGCAGATTCCTGAGCTTCCTACGCAGCGCAAGTTTGTTTCAGTAGACTGCCACGCCCACTCTAACGCCCACAAACCGCCCAAAGCTGTGGCTCCTACAGTTTTGATGCTAGAATAAAAATTTTAACTGAAATGTAATGTTCTCATCAATACCTATCGATTGACCTAAAAAAAAGTTTGCCACGCCCACTTAAACGCCCACAAACCGCGAAAACCTGTGACGCCCACAATTTGCATGCTACATAAAAAATTTTAACTGAAATGTATTGGTATCGTCAATACCTATCGATTTATCCAAAAATAAATTTGCCACGCCCACTCTAACGCCCATAACGCTTAAATCTGTCTACCGCCGGTAGGTGGCGCATTTTAATCTCGCTTTGCTGCTTGCATATCTCCATTTAGCTGAGTAACGGGTATCTGATAGTCGAGGTACTCGACTATAGCGTTCTTCCTTGTTTTATATATTGGGGCGTTACAACGACTTACAAAAAAAACTTCTTTCTTTGAACCAAAAAATTTGGCATTTTTCAGATTTTTAATAGATAGTACAATTATTTTTAATAGTTTCTAAATAATTTATTTCTTAAAAAATAATTTACATAGCCACATAGCTTTAAATACAATGCTTTTGAGACCAAAAGAGAGCCAAGGTCGTAAGCGATCGTTATTTATACATTATACATTATTTAAAACTTTGATACATACTATAGTTTGCTTTTTAAATTACTATAACATAAAGAAAAATCTATGTTCTACACCGCACATAAAGGCAAAGGAACCTATTCTAACGATGGAAATATACTTAGTCGTTAAGCAACCACCAATTAATGCGTTTTACTTGCTTTCAAATAACCGATAAGAATGGATTGGAATCACAAAATATGATCCCGATGTTACAACTTTTTTAATAGAGCTGAGGGACGTATGCATTTATAACAGATGTTCATTTAGAGTAATTCCGTACTAAGTAATTACATTTGTGTATAGATCTTTTAAGGATGTATAGATTTTAACGATTCGATTCCGATCTCGTACATTTTGTTTATACTCAAAATGGTGCATAGAATATCATTATTATTTAAGTATTCAGCAGAGTGTACCTAGAACACAGACCCCCTTCCTTTTCCATTTTTCACTTCGTCAACTCTCAGAAAGAGCATCGATTCATTTTCAACTACTAAAAGTGCATCGAAATTGATTAATTACTATCAAAGCAAGGCAAAGAAAACCACATATCAGTGGGCATGGCGAGCATTGAATCCAATTGATTCTCGTCGCTGTTTGACTGCCTTACTGGTCCCAAGTGCTGGGCCACCTATAAAAGCTGGCCCCATCCCAGCAGCCATCAGTTCAGTCCGAAGAACATGAAATTCCTGACGGTATTCGCATTCGCCTGTGGTAAGTAGTCCCCTTGATACGACCAACGTTTGATAAACTAAAAGTAGCCGCCGTCATTCTGTTAGTGGCAACGTTTGTGGTGCTCCACAGCGCCTACGGGTCTCCCCTGCCGGAGCCCGTTCCTGATCCCAGTCCAACGTCCGATGTGAGTCGCATTGGCAAACCCGTACCCAGCCCAGGTCCGAATCCCAAGGCAGAGGCGAATCCCAATCCCTTGCCAGCAGCTTCTCCGCCAAAATTAAACTTGCCTTATTTGGAATCATTGGGACACCAGGCCGCCGGAGGTGATGCCAACTTCGTGGCCCTATCAGCCAATGCGGAGCCCATGATTCCGGCCCCAGAAGCTGCAGCCCCGAAAGTGGACGAGGCCCAGGCCTAGTCGGGGGATGCCCCATTATTGAGGAGCACAGCAGCAGCTAATCTATCTGGAGCCTGCACAGCCACACACAAGGAAGACACACACATATAATAATCTCCGGTATTTAATATATGCACTTATGTATTCCAACATCCAGCATGGGCATTAATAAAATTGCAAAAAAAAAATGTGATTTCCAGGAAGTATATTAGGGGAGAGTGGTGGAAGGATACTTTTATGGGTAAGATATAGCAGCCATAATTAAAAGCAATTAAGAAAATAATTATATTATGATCAAGAAAAATTTAAAAATAAATAAAAACATTTATTTTTATAGCCGTTACCTGAAGAGTACAGGGGTATACTAGATTGGTCGGAAAGTATGTAACAGGAAGCGATCTAGCCATGTCCGTCCGTTCGTATAAACGCTACTACAAATTCTTGAGGATCTTGCGCAGCGCAAGAAACCTGTCCAGATCTCACATTTCTTAATATTTTTTTAAAGTGTAAATGGTATTTTGTTTTGATTAACCATATCAAAGCCAAAAATTGTTTAAATCGGAATATTCAAAAGTTATAAGCAAATAAAGTGTGCCATTTCGGAAACAGCCCATTTGCTGCATGTGTATCCCCATCTTCCTCGCACTACCTTTGGTCAAGGCCGTCGAATATAGCGATCATTAAGTTTTTACATCATCTTAAGCTTTTGTTTTTCACAAATTTCAACCTATCGAAATAATCAACTCTATGCTAATACAGGTAGCATAAATCGTATCATATTATTTGATTAATTAAAGTCATCTCCCGCAGCTAATTTAAGAAAAGCTTTACACACTTTTGGGAAGTGACGACGAAGTATTTGCTACTCAAATCCGTTTCCCATATCAACTTCCGCCGAGGAGTCCACTGGCCAAGGCAGTCACATGACATCGACACCGGCCAGGGAGAGACCGACTGACCAAAAGACCAATCGACCAACCGACCAGATCCGGCCGACCAGATTTGCGTTGAAAAAAAAAACGCCTCGAAAGAGCCACCGAGACTGGGAGTAAAAAATCACTTACAAAGAGGAAGCGACAGCTCTAACAAGTTTTATCAATGAAGTCGGTGTAAGGTTGACGACAAAACGCACACCGGCAATCCAACCGCAGAGACAATGTCTGGGGTGCGAACCGGCATTGGACGGCATAAAAATAAAACCACACGAAAGCTCCATTGATCGGGGCATCGTCGGTTAATCCATTTGTAGGGCATCATTACCAAGTTTATTCATCGCATATATGGTATGTAAATAGGTTTATTTGCATGTTCCTTTTGCCTCTTCCGACGATCGTAAATTTTATCTTTGCGTTGCGTTCGTTCTCAGTCATTAAGGCAATGAACAATTTTGAGATATCAATTTACATGTTAACACATCTTGAGACTTTGAATGAGCGGATGACTGACAAATTGTCAATGCCTGGCTATGAATGAATTCCAAGAGTATTGAAAGTCATTGATAACTAATAAAAGATATGGAAAGGTGAGGCTTTTGACAAACATGAGAAGATTCTGCAAAAGGTAGGCTTTTTTGTGTGAAACAAAGAATTAGAATAATAATTTGAATCCGTATGTTAGAAATAAAACATTCATTACTGATGTGTTTTCGAATTTCTGCTAATGCTAAAACGAACATATTCTGCGTTATAGCCAGTGTTCAAAGGCATTGGACTTTTTCCCGTGGGATACGATTTTTTCTTTGCCTGAGCTCTGCTGTCACACGTGCAGTATACAATTAGCCGCCGAGAAACTCATACAGATAAGCTGACCGTGTAATCAGTCTCAATGCCAGACCTATTATGAATCAGCATGTAAACTTAATGTTGTTTATGTTTCATTTTGTCGCTTTTTTTATATTTCTTATCACAAATAATTTTCTAAGGAATTCAAGACTAAGTCATATTTACTTACTTATCGTAATATTAAATTAAAATGGATGCCTGTTTTGATATTATATCGAAATAAAGCAGCAACCCTTTTTCCATTGTTGCCCATTGCTATTTGAATGCAGTAGGCAACCCTCAGCTTAACGCTAACCACACATCAATAACTCAACACACCTTACGATGCATTTTAAAGATTCTCAACGAAGTTCACATTACGTAGAAACTTTATTGCTATGTTTAATATTAAATGGTCGGTCCTAATATGGGATATGGAATGCCTTTATGCAAATTGTACCATTTCGGCTTTCCTTTAGCGGCGACCAATAAAGATAATCCAAGAATAGCTAACAATGGTTATGAAAATATAAAAAAAAGTTTATATTAACGACAAATATTTAAACCTGAATATACGTCAATACTTATCAGTTGTAAGACCCTCATCCTGATTCACCAGGAAAAACTTATTTAAAGTTGATTCTTATCAGTTAATATAAAGCAAATCGGATATGGCTAATTATATTGGCCGATTCGTTATTCTTCAAGGTGTAAATTAAAACACATCTATAAAATAACAATTTATATGTATGTGGCAGCGAGAATCTTAACTAAAATTTTTTTAATTTGCAGAAATATATTCTTTGACTCACAAATATTTTGCGCAAACGAAAAACTCTGGTTTAGCAACAAAATATGTGCCAAACGCAACATCAAAAGCGGCACAATTAAAACCAATACAAACCCCATATAATTATATTAACAGAAGGAGAAAAGGGAAAAACAATGGAAATAAGTGGGTTGGGGAGGGGAATAACCGGCAGCTGGCTACACATTAATTTATAATTATTTGGGCTTCCAGCAAAGGGTTAATCAGAACAAGTGCCGCTTGAAAGCCCAGAAATAACCATAGAGAAGATACATTTAGCGGAAAATGTATACCCTTCCATAAGTTCAAAATAATACATACCTCAGCTGAAATAATAAAATTGTATTAAACAAACTATTATTGTTATGTATTAAAATATTTAAACTAAATGTAGTTAGGAAGCATTCATCATAACATTTGAAAATATCCCCTTTTTTGTGCTGATTCAAAGGGGTATAACACCTTTTTAAGGAAGTGTATAACCGCATCTCATCTCATCGACTCATGTGGTGCACATCTGAGGAACAGAAACAGAAGCCCAAATTAATTTTGTGGTCTGCTGACTTTTTTGATTATTATTTTCGGGCAGAAACCAAATTTGAAATTAATTTTCCTACTGTGCGGGTGCTCCAATATACACGAATGGGCCAACTTGCCTCATGGAGAGGAATGGAGAATTGCATAAACCAACTTGGCAATTACAGATATCGACATTTATGTACATACTCCGACCGACAATCGCCCGCCTCATTAGAGCTAATCAAAATGAATGCTCTAATCAAAGTGGTTTGATTGAAAATAATTTTCACTCACACTTTCAGGTTTTCACTTTCAATCTAATTGATTGAAACCAAAGAGGGGCGTGTGGGAAACCCCATGCCGTAGAAAATGGCAAAAACAGCGAGACAAGAAAATGAATTTGGAGAAATTAGAAAATCGTGAATCAGAAACCGCAAAGAGCCATAAAAGAAACACCAGCCTGCAGGAGACAGACGTGGGAGTCGAGTTAGAGAATCGGAAAATTGGCAATCGATTGAGCAGTTAATCAATTTCCCCAAACAGATTAAAATAAACCAAGCTCTGAACTCTTCCAGGGCTCAGAACTCACGTCTTATCGGAATTTCACGGTCGCGTGAGTTGTGTGATTTGCCATTGTTTAGACAATTAAAGATTCCTTGGGTCTACTCTGGCAGAAACCCACGCACAATCTCGGCACTCTGTTACTTTACCGGCAAACTCGACTCAGGCAATTAACTGATTAGCCCCCAATTTTGCCATTTCGGTACTTTTGTCATTTGTGGGGACAAAAGCGCCAATACGCCAAAAGAAAAATAAGAGGAAGCTTAATTAATTGGATAGAAACTCTTTCCAAATAGTTCAATTGAACAGGTACACTCAAAATTAAAAATGTTACAATTGTTTTCAAAAATAAAACTAAGTATTTTCTGAAAATATTAACAAAGCTTATCTAAAAAAATCGTTTATTTATAAAATTGTTTTTTCTGTTCAATATTTACAAATATTTTTCTATTTTTTTGGAGTGTATTTTTTAAAAGGGTAAGCTGTGGTTCCGATTTATTCGACGTTCTGAAATGGTGGAGCCCCATTTTATATTTTTATCTTTTACACCCAAGGGTCACTTTTAAGTATAAGGGTGATTTTTGCTTAAATTGAATTAATATCAGACAAAAATCTTGATTAAAAAACAGTATTTTCTTTGCTAGGACAGTTAATTTGTCTTAGCTTTAAAAAAGCTAAGGTTTTTTTTTTATAAATAAATGGGGAGAAAACGAAAAACACCCTGATTACACCCGTCTACTCCTCGACCTTGTTGTGGGTACTACGATAAATTATAATTGTCTTTTTTTTAAATATTTGTTATTACTTGGATAACGAGAAGCTTATCTAGGAAGGAAAACTGTGTCGAATGATTCATCTCTTTTAAACAAATAAATTCCAATTTGCCGATGTTGATTTCCCCTAATTTTTTTGCACTACATGTGAAATTAGCAACATTGCCAAACAAACACAGACCTTTTCAGGCAGCTGTGATAATAAACCAACATAATATTCGTTTATATTATCCCCAACTAAATATTTATCCTTTAAAAAAGCAAACCACGTTGCTTTTCAGCGTTTTTGGTGTCTAAACTATAAAATTCAGACTCTGAATGTTATCCTGTCCTTTAGAAGGAATAACATACACATTAATATTTATCTCGAGTTGTCTGTCAAATTCATTTGGCTTGCTTGTCACAGGAAGTGAAGTCTTATCTGCGTGAGGCAAATGACGCAAAATGAACCCCTTTGTGTTGGCTTTAGATTTATTTATGATTTTAAGCACTTATTTGTAATTGGCTCATAGCAATTGTCTGAGGACGCGACGTTGATGAGGGGGAGGAATCGCTCTAAATAGGCTGCCATCAATCAAACCTTATCATAATTTAATCGGACGGCGCGCAGCTAAGTAAACACATTGTGTTTGTTAAGTTTGCAAATAATAAAGCTCCCTCTGATAGGTGACATAAGTTTCCCTTATACCCTGGGTAACATTTATGTCAAACAGCTTTTTATGCTTACTATGCTAAAGAGGCTTTAGAAATATCTTCCTGATAGTGAAGAAAAACAAACACTTTGAGCTATTTGATTTTTTATGAATTGATAGGATAGGATTTACACTATAAAATATTTGTTTTAATTAAAAAATTTTAATTTTTTTTAGTTTCTACATATATTTACTATTCCAGAATTCATTTTATTACCTTAACTTTCATGAAAGGAAATTTTTAGTTTTGCCTTCTTTTTAAACTGGGCTAACAGGGAAACTAACTGACTGGCAGATGAAAAACCTCCCAGCTTGAGCTAAAACGTATTCGAATAGACAATGAGTGGAAGTGTATTTTCTTGTAGGCAGTTGTTGGGTTCATTCAAGAGTCGGGATTCACTTCAAGCGGCACAAAGACACCGCAGGATGTCTCCACTGAATGCGAATCGATGTTTCGGTTGTTTCTCGTTTCCGTTTCCTGTCCCACGTCGCAACGAATGCGATTTAATTTCTATTGTCCTTCTGCGATCGATACAAAAGTCATTTGGAAAGTAACCAACTCAGTGTGAGAGCCGGCTAAGTAGTAAACACTTGGCTGTGAAGTGTTCGGAGTGCGGCCTTGGCCAGGTGTTCACTTGACTCAGAACTCAGGTAAAAATTGAAGAGTGTTAAACAATTTGTTAATTTTAGTTAATTAAGCGGAGGTAATGTCATCAAATAATGTTCTATATGGCTATTACGATCACCAATCAAATTATTAGTAATAATTATGTAATGCTTTTATCTATTAAAGGTGAGTTGGGAAAATATATTAAATATAAATATTATTAATAAAAATTAAATTTACAAAATATGGGTTTGTTTGGTCCCGAATAGTTGTTCCTTGCCAAAAAATTCAATACAAGAGTATTAAACCTCATTTGCTAAACCATACATAGGAAAAAATCTTATCTTATTACATAAAAATGTCTAGCGATCTGTAATAAATTTTGGAATCCTTTAAATTCTAATCATATACTCTAAATGTAGAAGATTGTTCTCTGCCAAAATAATAAAGTTTTGAACTCGTTCCATCTTGGTTAAAGCTGTCATCAACATGACAAAGCGGCTTTGCCTCTTCGGACGATTATTTTTGGTGTGCGGCATCAGACTTGTGGCCAAGGAATATAAATGATATGAAAAATGTGTTGGTATGTAAATATGTGGATATCATTTTTTTTGTTTTAACGTTTATAATGGATTGTCATGTGCCTTAAATATAATAAGATTCTTGCATTTAAGTATGTGTTTATATGAAATTTATTTTCGTATATTTTCATGTTTGATTACGTGACATTTTTACTGAGTGAGGCTCGTAAAAAAAGAAGACGGAGTTAGACTGGAGGCTTAGATGTTTGTTGGTTGATGAACCCTTAAAAGGATTAAGTAAATAAGTTGAAACAAGTTTTGGGCTGCGGTAAGAAAGGAAATATCAAAATTTTACTGCGATAAGCCCAAGTAATTATATTTTTACCTTTCCTTGAGTAGCATAGAACTCTTTAATGATCAGTTTTAACACTGAAATTGTAAGTCGCATAGAAACAGACAGTCTGGTAATATTTTATTGGGTAGGAGAAATATATATTTTACATAATTTTCAACAGACAGCCATAAAAGTGAACTCATTTTTAGCTAACAAAATACATATCATAAATTTTGGAACTCTTTGGAACTCATGCAGCGAAGAAATTGAGGAAAGGGTGCTATGCTCAAACTGAAAGTATGCATAAATCTGTCAAATGAATAGTTCTCAAGCAGGGAAAGGGCATTTTAATAGCATGTAACACAACACTATTTTGAATTCCAGTTAAGGGCAATATTCCAATGCATTGTCATCGCGTAAATTAGGGCAGACGAAGAAGATCACAAAGGAGACAACAGGTAGCTAGAAACAGGTATATGTCGGTCAAAATCAGAAGAACTAGAACCAGACCAAAGGGTCAAACCATATTTAAAGAGGCGCCATACTATAGCCTATTACTGATACCATATTTGAGAAAGTTGATCTAGAGGATACTTTATGACTTACAGTTAAAGTGGACCTCTGAAATGTATTTCATAAATGTTTCCTTCTATCTTCTCGCCTGTTTTTATTTGTCTTACTTTATAATTTTAAGAGTTTCAAAATATCAGTATCCTACTCGTACAAGTGTTATATTTTAATATTTGAAAATGGTTAGATCATATGTTGTAGTTGTATAAGATAAATTAATGCATATCTTTATCGATTGTGATTAGATTAAAATGTATACACTGATTTTCGAATACATGCTCGAAAACAGTACTTAAAAAATTACAAACTTGCTTATATATTTATATGTATGCCTAAATTACGATGTAATTGGTTTAAAGCTTCCGGGCTCATAAAATCCGATTTAAAGTCTGCCTGCCGCCTGTGAACCAGTTGCCCAGTGAAATCATCCACTTTGTCCTGAACGTTCAAGTCATAAAGAGTTCTCATAAGGCCACCCACCATTTTCTCGGACTTGGATCTTGAACTAGACTCAATGCTTATGTATGGAGCAGCTTCAGTAAATTGCCAAAGGCAAATGTACGCTGTGTAATGAACAAAAATGGGATTCTTGAAAAATCGCTAACATCCCTTAAAAACTTACTGAAAATGCAGAGCAGCGCGATGTAGTTCATTGTTTAAAGATATTCTGTAGACTGTAAACAGTTTTGAAAGCTTTTACCCTAAGCGTTCAAAATCTGAATTATTCCAGCTAATGTGATCATCTGTACGAAGCGCGCAATTTGAAGGTTATCCTATGAATCAGTAATATCGGTATGTGTTTGTTTTTTTTTTGCATTTGTATTTGAATAAAAACTACGTTTTTACAATGACTATCACCAAGGTAGAGTTGGGAACATCCCCGGAGTGGGCTTCATGGTTGTGGTTGTATCCTCAACTAGTCGGGTGATTTTCTGGATTTCGGTCTTGACCTTTCGCCGCAGATCCCTTAGCAATTTTAGGTACCTATTCCGATGGCTATACCTGATGATGGGCTCCCGCTCCTCCTTGACCAACCTATTGGACTCGTGATCGGCAATCTGGAGTAGAACATCACCAGTGAGTCTTCCCTGGCACCTCTTCAACTGCTTTTGGACATTTTCCAACTGCAAATGAATCTCCAGCAGCTTGCGATTCACTTCATTCATCTCTCCCACCAAATTATGGCTTAGCTCTTGAACTTTAAGGACTACAGAATTGCTAACTAGAATTTCCTTTAGTAAGTTTCCTGACTGATTCTGTAAATGCTCCGTTTTAGAGTGCTCTTCCAGCAACCTCATTTTGAACGCCTTGACTGTCTCAGAAGTTGGTGATAAAAGTTGTTCAGTTAAAGGGACATCATTGTCCAGGTCATTTTCTATACTACTTTCACTTGGAACTACTAGTAAGAAATCCGATTTGGTTTTGTTGTTCAACGCAGGATCTTTTTTTAGAGAACCATTTGCCGATGTACCATTCAGCAAGGAATCTCTATTCGGATCATCTTCTAGCGGTAAGTCGTCAACACGTGAATATTTCAAACCACTTTTAGGAGAATTACTTATCGGTGAATCGTTCTTGGGGAAAATTAAACCATTGTGCGTCAAGGCTTCCTTAGATGGTTCTATCAAAGGCACTGAAGAATCGCTCCCCATCATATCATTCTTGGAAGAATCTTTTTGCAGAGATTCGCTCTTGGGTAAGTCATTCTGGCGTGTCAAGTCAACATTCGGATCATCTTCTAGGGGTAAATCGCTCACACTTGAATATTTCCAAGAATCACTCTTAGATGAATTACTTTTCGTTGAATCGTTCTTGGGTAATATAGAGTCATTATGCGTCAAGATTTTCTTAGATGGTTCTTTTAAAAGCAAAGAAGAATCGCTACTTATCATAGCTTTTGTGGGAGGTTCTTTTTCCAGAGATTCAATCTTGGGTAAAACATTTTGGGGTGTCAAATCAGCATTCGGATCATCTTCTAGGGGTAAGTCTCTCACACGTGAATATTTCCAATCACTTCTAGGAGATTTACTGATCGTTAAATCGTTTTTGGGAATAGTAAAATCATTGTGCGTCAAGTCTTTTTTAGATGGTTCTTTTAAAAGCACAGAAGAATCGCTCTTCATTGTATCTTTCTTGGAAGAATCTTTTTGCAAAGATTCGCTCTTGGATGTGACATTCTGGGGTGTCAAAGCACTTTTTGGAAAACCGCTCACAGGTGGATCATGTTGCTGTGCTACTGCATCGTTAACCAGCAAAACTAACAAAAAAATGTTCTTTAATAAATGTCTTACGTTGCATAAGCCAACTTACGTAGAACTGCAAAACAAAGGAATACCACTCTCATCTCGAAGAAACTGCTACTACTTAAAGTTTGAAAAACTCTGAAGATCTGGCTTATATAGAGATTTCTAGTTACAAAAGGCTATTGCAACGGATGGTGTTTCGTTCTGCTTGACTTTTATTAAGCTAAACTGACTTACTATCCAAATGTGTCCCATAAAATAGTAAGACCCACACATGCCAGTTACTTTTATTTATTTTAAAAGACAACCAAGTCGTACAAAGCATCAAATTAAACGATGTCTGCAGAATTAGACGTATCGGCCATTTTTGTTTTCCTTTTTTTGGACAGCCCCATACCAGCACGGGTTTCTTGAACTATCTGGTCTTCAAAGCTCTCCAGAATTCTTAGGTACTTCAATAGAAATTGCTTCCTGGCCATCGGATGGAAATCTTCGGACTTTTTGTCGGCCAGCCTTTCGGCAAGTCGACGTACCTTATCTTCCCGATACTTGGTGCTTTGGCATCGCTCCATTAAAAGCCAACTATAATCGAGTTTCACTTTCTTCTGGGACAATACTTGACGGGCTTTCATTACTGCATTCCTTGTGTTAGTCCAATTTAACTTGGCTACTATTGCACGTTGGTCCATATATTGTAAATAGGCATTACGCTTGTTCACCTGCGATCTCAAATCTGAGTTAATAGCTAACTGGGCGTTCAATATTCGCTTGAGTTGCATCAATGCCCTTTGGTTATAGATCACCTCCTTTGGGAATTCCTGTATATCGTTTCCATTAGAAGATTCTTCCACGTACTCTGATTTCAAATGTTGCGCTCCTATCTCAGTCACAGAGCAGCAAACAACTAAATTTTGATATATAAAGTAAATCTTGAAAAACTATCTTTAAAATATTTTCATATAAAACTTACGAGCTGCAATCAACCATTCAAAGATACCTTCCATATTCAAGTATTTAACATAGATTAATATATACTTTTATTTCCAAGATTCAAATAATCTGAACAAATCAATATCGTAAGGTTTTAATATACCGTGAAGTTAAGTAAAGACTTTCTTGAAGGCAGACCCTCAGATCAACTTTTCTGGTCGATGAAAATGCTAATCAGCTCAAGAAAATAAATTACTTTTAATATATAACTAAGTAATATTCTTCATATCATCGGAATAATGAAAACAATCCAAAAAGAATTCCCAAGCCAAATTAATGTAATAATGCATGCTCGGATATATGAAAAGCACACCATTGTCTTGGGCCAAAAGTGAAACTGCAATCCCAAAATTTCCGACATCCGCACTGCGAGTTAAATGAGAACTCATACTAAAATTTCGCCCACATCTTGAATATGTAAATTAAATCTTGCGCCTGCGCACGCGTCAAATTGAAAGCGAAATTGGACGTGGGATTCATAAAACTGAGGCATGGCCAAATCGTGGGTGTTGAGCGGTCACTCTGTGAATAGTATTCCCTCTATTTTGGTGGGTGTCCACTGCTAATTGTCAAAATTATAGCTATTGACGCGCAAGTTGCTCGCATTTTGCGTGGTGTCTGCGGCAAGTTATTTAAATTGCCGCGGCCCCACAAATGGTCAAAAGTCGTTACTGCCTTGTAATCCAAGCCAATTTCGGTGTAGAATTGATAGTATATTGGAATTTGCCTTAGAAGGCAATCGGAACGAAAATCTATTATTTAAATGCGTATTTAAATTTCAATTAGAGGGCAACATTTACCAGCTAATCATTGATGATCATTTTAAAGCTTTTTAAGTAGCACCCACACAAGGGTGTTATATGCAAAAGGCAAGCTGTAAGAAGGGTCGGTTAAAGTTAGATTTGAAGTATTTTTATTAATCCAAAAAAGTGTAATAAATAATATAGTTTCTAAAATCTGATAATTATACATAAGGTTATTGTTCATGTTCATACCTCGGAATCTCCATTATTTTATAGTACTTTCCCATACAAAGTTGATGTCTTGTCTCTCGTTTTGATTGCCGTATTATTATGATGATGATATCTCTTTCTGCGACTCTCATTTGAGTCACTTTTCACTGAAGTTTTCGGTTTCAATTTCCCATGCCAGCGGATCCCATATGTTTTGCCATGATTTTCAACGCTTTTCAGCTGGAGTTCGGCTCGAGCACACGCTTTCATTTGCGTTCGGAAAATGACCTACTTCCGGATTAGCATGCCTCGGCCACTTTTACTGTCGCCGGATCGGGAAAAGGGCTATGGCGGGGGTTTTCGAGATGGAGAGAACCATTGATGATGGGCACTGACCAGGGGGAACTGGGGCTAATGACGTTGTCGCTGCGTATCCACTTGATAATAAACATCCGCCGCGTTCCGCAGTGAATAATTGTGTTGCATGTTTGTTGCATTTAATTGTAATTTATTTTCCAGTCCATAGAATGGGCCAGGCAGAGAACGGAAGCAAATATTTTCCGGTGGAAGCTGGTCGGTCCAATAGGGGAAGTCGAAGTCCCTTTCCTATATTTTTCTGATTTTTTCCAACAATCTATGATGCAGTTATAAGGTCTTGAAGCAGCCATATCCCATCCGATTTAACCCTTAAAGCATATCAAATTCTTAGAAAAAGTTTCTTAGTTATATTCATTTCTTAAAAAATGTTAATATATTCTATAGTAAGTAACAAAAAAATATTAAAGTACTTTAAAATAAAACACAACTTCACTACAAAGAAAAATTTTCCATCAACGCTACTCTGAGCTAAAAAATGTGTTCACATGGCTACACAAAGGGTTAATTGATTCGAGTGACATCGATTTGCTATATGACTCCAGTTCTTTTTTCCACCAGCAAAGCTGCATTTGTCGGCTTTTGATTAAAGGGAAAAATACCAAGTGAAGCCGACTGCCAATTGTGGAAATAGTGGATCGATCGGTAGCGAACCGCAATCAATAAACTGAAGGGAAGCCAAAGCGAATTGCTGGCTAATTTTACGCAAAAATGTGAGGGCATCGAAGCGCAAAGAACGCGGTGCACAGTGCGTCCATCGACAAAAGGAAGCTGCGACTTCCTATCGCAGGGCCAAGGTAAAAACACCTCAGCCTGGGGCCCCAATCAGACCCCATTCCCCATCGAGAAACCCACTCTGCACCAGCGGGTGACTCTTCACACTCCAAGCTGGCATAATTGCCGGGGCATCAGAAGCAGTCAGGTTAATTAGCTCCGATTCGGGGGAAGCCTCATCCTCATTCTCGGCCTCAACCTCACCCTCACCCTCATGCCATTCTACAAATCAAAGCGGAAATTGTTTATTAAACAAATCCACAGGCAGTTCTGTTGGTTTGGGCAGCATCCATGGTGTGGATAATGGACTTTTAATTGACTTCTGGTATTTTCGGCAGCCTGCGTGCCATGGTTCTATTATAGGTCGAAATTGGGAATCCTATGACATAATAACTGGGGTTGTCATAGCTCAGGAAGCCTAACAAGCCGCCAGCTTTGAATAAACAAAGGAGTCAACTAACCCAATTTGAAGCATTTCGTATCGATAAAAATGATGTTGTAAGAGCAGTTGAAAGATGGTGACAGGTAACGACAGTCAGACTTTGAAAGTAGATCATTTGCATTTGTCAATACCAATAGTTGACACACTTTATAACAATCCGCATCACCATTGAGCAGCAATCCCCAAGTCAGCATTCCATTATAATCGAAGTCGTTACCATTCACTTTAATTCACAAAAATTACAGTGCATTCAATGGTTTTTGAAATATATATTTGTGGAGTAATACCTTGGAACTTACCAGAAAATATAAAAACTATCTATACTAATCTAAGCTGTTCACATATTTTATGACTTCTGTGATCTTTGTTTTTGATATTAACCTCGCGTGGGATACTCATCATCAAAACACTGAAGGTGGTCGTTATGTAGGCGAATAGGTTCTCTTTTTTCGCCTCCAGTTTTAAATAAAAAAAAAAAAAACTATACAAAAAGGTAAAGTATTCAACAAAAAAGGGTCTACGATCGTTATTTGCCTCATAACATTCAAATTGAATTTAACCGAAAAGGTGAGCGAAAATCGTGAAAATTTTCGGTGGCTATTCAAGCGAAAAACTTTCCATTTCGAATGCAGCACTAATTCGGCTAATCAGAGGCAGCGGCACCCACTATCATTACATCATCTTGCATAGATCAAGCCATGGAACCAACTTCCGCCCGACACGCACTTGAAAACAATTGTGAGGAGGGAAAGTTATCAACATCACATTACCATTGGAACCGCGGCATCAGCAATAAGCCATCTCCATCTCCATCTTCCCCAATGAGAGTGAGTCTGGGACTGGGTAATTTCAAACGCCAAAACAATGACACATAAATCGCTGAAAAAATCAAGCATAACATCAACATTTTCACATCTCCCCATGACGACTACACCCACTGCCATTACTGGAATCCATGAGATACAGTACATAGATATATATATATGCAGTACTTGGTGGCATGTGGAAAGTTGCAAATTAGCCGGGCGATAGAAAGCAAGGCAACAAGTCGCTCGTATTATTCAGTTACTCAAAGACACTGGTAATGTGAGAAAAAAGCGAGAATGTGCAGCGTTGACACAATTGTGAGTGCACGAGACGTTGGTGCATCTATATATATGTATCTATATCTGTGAGATACTTGAGCAGTTGCCAGCGATTGTCTAGCTCGGCAGTTGGTTTTCGATTGCCACAATGGTCCCCAGCAGAGGCATGCGATGAAGTGGGAAGCTTCTCGTCTCATCTCGTCACGCCCCGAGAGACTACCAATCAACTTTGTCCGGTCTCCATTCGATACTGCTCTGAAATTCAATTCGTTTTGGCTCATGCCTTTACTTACACGGTCAGGTTGTGTTTGTATTATAATGATGTATTTGTTGGATAAAGGAAGTAAAGGACCCTTTCTTATATTTTTATAGATTTAACCCTTTGTTCTTGATTAGCATTTGAGCTATTCACTCACTTTATCAACTTGAAACCTAATCATTTGCTCTAAGGTGGGTGTTCCTTTTATCTTGCATTATTTTTATTACATAGTACCACCTACTCTTTAGCATCTGGAAAACTATTATAATAATGTAGGTCATTGTCTATCGAAGTAGCGCTATCAATTTGGTGCCATTTATGGCATGATGGCATATGGAATATGGCATAAAAGTTGGTGCATAACAAAAATCATCTCTTGTCTTTATGGAACCGCCCCCTCATAAGACTTCCGTTTTTCCATCCGTCTCACACCCCATTACGTATATATGAAACACACATAAAGAGCTCCAGTTCTTGGAACGTCTTGATGTCAAGCCAATATTTTGGGTAATTAATGGGAAGCTCGACAGGTTGGCGCGTGGCAACTTTTCCTTTGACTCCTACGCTCGTGTATCTTTTTGTTAGCAAGTTTGGTTGTAACTTTTGTTGATATGATTTTTTATGGTACGAGGTGTATCCAAGTCTTACTGCATTTTCAGCGTGGGTCTGTTGGCCTGAAAAACCGAGCGTTGGCTGGAAAACAAGTTAAGACTTCGTCGGTCAAGGAAAATCAAAATTCATTCACTAAGCTTGGCTTGAGTCATTTGGTTTTCATTGATAAAATAGTTTGTGAATGGGGCTTGCGGCTTACATAATTGCTTATAATATTGCTCAGACCGGAAAGACGTTATGAAGATTTAAAAATGCAATTGAAACATTTTAAATGTATTTCGATTTTTAAATAACTACAAGTTTTATAGAAAAAGAACATATATTTTAAAGACACATATCTCTAATTTACAAAGGCGTCATAAATTATCTTTCAAGTCACTCCCAAATAGACAACAATTGAAATTCTGTCCGCGACATTTTTGGAGCAAAACAAACATTTCACAGTCAGCTTCATCAATCATCGTAGATAAAACTGCGCACTATGCCTCCCATTTGATGTTTACAATAAAGCCGGGTCCAAGTTTGGT